CAAATACTTCACACGAAAATGCCTTTTTAAAGCATTTTTAAATACTTGAAAACCTGAAGATGCTGCTAAAAATATCTTAAAATGCCCTTTAACATTTGAAAGAAACTTGAGGTTCACCCAGATGGAGCATCTGTTTCTCCCTAATTTGAACTGGCTGGAGCCACTTAAATGTAAACCTTTCCAGGATTTCTATCCATGCAACCCAACTTCTCTCTCTTAAGAAATCAAAATCTCCCGATGAATTGGATCAGCCGTTGTTCAAAACCCCTGAAGAAATTCTTGGTAACTCTTTAAATGATCTTGTCTGCTGGATCTCTCCTCTCCTTTCGCTTTGATAGATTAGTGTGAAAGATTCTACTGGCAGCACACATTTTCTGCTAATCCATCCTGGATGTTGTTGTTTAGTCGTTTAGTCGTTTCTGACTCTTTGTGACCCCATGGACCAGAGCACGCCAGGCCCTCCTGTTTTCCACTGCCTCGCAGAGTTGGGTCAAATTCATATTGGTAGCTTCCATGACACTGTCCAACCATCTCGTCCTCTGTCGTCCCCTTCTCCTCTTGTCCTCACACTTTCCCAACATCAAGGACTTTTCCGGGGAGTCTTCTCTTCTTCTGAGATGGCCAAAGTACTGGAGCCTCAGCTTCAGGATCTGTCCTTCCAGTGAGCACTCAGGGTTGATTTCCTTTAGAATGGATGTTAGCTGCCTCCAAAAGCCTCTGGAGGAAGGCCTAGAAACAATCTTCTTCTGGATGTATGGACATACGTATGTTTTTTTTTAAAACTGAAAGACACTGAAACAGAAAGCTTCAAATGTTCTGCACATCTGCTGTTAATCCCTCTTGAAAACCAGCTGCCTTCAAAAACCATCTGCTCCCAAAATGTGGAGGAAAACTTAGATCTGCTGTTTCATTTTTATGCTAGGGTTTTCTGCTGTTTTTGTGGCTGCTGTTGCTTTCATTTTAAACTTGGAATCGTGCTAAATTGATGGCTTTTGATAGATTCTTGCTGCCTGAAATCTGTCAATGGTACAAATTGAAAATAAGAAACAACTACCACTTTCTGCAGATACTTAACGGTTTAAGTTTGTCACATATAGTACTGGTTAAAGCCTTGCATCATCTGGATGGTGAAAAAATACAGTACAAGTAAAAAATACAAGTACTGTCAGTGTGCATACAAGTGCAATAAATGGCCTAGGTATTACATGCTATACCTAGAAATTAACTTTGTAACACCTAGCTATATTGTACAAAGTAACTAGTTACATGTAGTGATTTACTTGCAACTAGTTATATCCAACTCCAGTTCTCCTAGCTCACCTTTCATACGACACTTTTGCAAACTGTTTGCCGTCTTCTTAAGGTACCTGCATGCAGCCAGTTTTGTCCCTTCGAGTCTGTGTCCACCACAAAACTGTTCTTGGAGTGGGTGAGATGACACAGTTTCACCAGGAAGGTCCCTGTGCTCTTTTTCCATAATTAAATCTCTCCAGGGGATGAACAGCTTGCTGGGGAACAAATGATAACGACTGCTAATTGTAGCAACTTGCTAAGGGAGCCATTAAAAAGATGGTTTCATGCCATCTCTTTGCCCGGGGTGTCAATACGTTCTGAGGGAGCTCTTGCAACAACTCTCCTCCCACCCGAGAGACAACCGGTTAATTACACCGCCTTGGGTCCTATTAAAAGTTTCCACTTTTTGAAAATAGTTGTAGCCCACAGGTGCATCTCCGGAGACCAAGGAGGCATCTGGAGCTCTCTCTCTTTCCTCTTCCTCTTAACATGCTTCTGTTTTTGAAGCAAAGGCCTTGTGCAGTGTCTCGGCTGGAGCAGCTGGCCAGAAACTGAGTGGCAAGTTCCAACTGCAACTTGATTTCCTTAATGCCAGAGGTGAACATCAGAAAGAGGGGGGTGTAGAACACCACAATTTCAAACTGTGCCTTCAGGGCTTCCAGCTGGCCAGCAATTATTTGAGCCTTAGTATGTACAGGCCTTATTTTTCAAGGGAGTTCAAATTATGGGGCAGGTGAACATTAAGCTCCATACACTCATCCTCTTGCACAGGTGTTTACTTGGCACAGAAACTAGCAGGAAGTGGAGGAGGATTAATGGCAGCAACTCACACTGTGTATCTGCGTTCACCTACTTGTGATCCTGTCCATCTCTATGGGAGGTAATTCTGCCCTGAGACATTTTGCTGTCTGAAGCCAAGAACAAAATGGCACCCATTCTCCATCCCAGACGGCCAGTTGAATCCTCCTTCCGGTTCCTCCGCCACACCTAGAAGGCAGCAGGACAGCTTAGGTGGCACGTGACAAATTGCACAGGACACCTCCAGTGCTTTCCTTCCAACTCCCAGCATCTGCCACCAGAAGCGACCCCCTCACTTTGTCAAACAGGAGGGCTGGCCCTGAATTAAAGTATGAGAAGCTCTGGTGAGCAGCTCGCAATGCTAGACATGCAGGCAGATGGTGCTGTAAGACGGAGCAGAGCAAGAGTGACAAAGTGGTATAAAACCCAAGAGTACCTATGGAATCATTAGCTGTCCTTAGGCGTGTTGCTATTCTTGGACAAGACAGATCTGCACAGAATGGGATGGGAAAGCCATTCTATGGGAAGAGACCTGAGCAGGCTGCATTAGTAGCGTCTCCCTCCAGATAATATTGTCTGCCTAGCCAGGATTTGAGGAAAGTAGACCAGACTCTACTGTGCATCTGTTTTGTGTTAGTATGATCATTGTGGGAGACTTTCTTTAGCAACTGGTCTACTAGCCCCACTCGCTGGGAATTTAATGCAAGTACAGTTCAAGCTGGTGAAGAGACTGAATGCAATACCCTCCTTCTCCAACAAGTCCTCATGACTTTTCTGTTGGCTGAGGGGCGGTTCTCTCCCCCATGAGCAGAGCTGGAAAGTGGGCTACTAGATAGTCAGCAACAACATTTTTGCAGTATGCCTACTTGTGGAAGCTTGCTTTCAAGGTTGCACTGTGGTCTGTTCTGAAAATGTAAGAGCTACCTCTCTCAAGATTGAGCAAGTTCCTAATGATCTGGTTATGACTAGGGACAGCCACCTGTCTTTTTCAAGGATCCCGAGCAAAACATAATGGTGGCACCTGTTATATTTGCACTGCCCAAGAAATGCAGAAATGCATGGTCCCAGTAGATCTAGGAGGGCAAAGGGTGGCTTCCCAAAGCCTTCCTCAGCTCCCCCTTTTTCCAGCAAAGTAATGTAATTTGCAGGTCTTGGAAGCCTTAAGGAGTGAAGCTTCACCATACTTGTGCACCCAACACCGTTTAATACCCATTTGCAAATGGACTTGAAGCCACTTATACAGTAGTTTAATATTTCCTGCTTTTTGGTGTCTAGGTGAACCCCAGTGGGTCCCAGCAGCAGAAACATGGCCCCCAGATCTGCCAAAGTTGTCCACCCCTGCTGTAGACAGCTGTTCTATTTATCTCCTGTGGTCCCAACATCTGACAGGCAAATCTTCCATGGATTTCTCTGTTTTCTCTTTAAAGCTATCAGAGCTAAGAGCTGTCAGGGCAATCATTTAACAGTGTACTCTACGCCACAATTCCTCTATAAATGTCACACCGATGAACTGAGAGTCACTGCAGTGATTGGGGAAAGGTTGAACTGGACTGTAGAGACTGAAATGTAGGCTCATGTTTTCAGTGGGCCGCCATACTCACTGAACGTGGGTCACTCACTGTGTCTCAGCCTGATCTACCTCATAGGCCTGTTGCAAAGTAAGGAGTGGGACATCTATGTATGCCACCTTGAGCTCCTTGGAGAAAAGGTGGTCTATAAATGTAAGTATAAATAAATAATAATAAATATATTTGCCAGCTTCTGTGCTTAAGAAGGGCCTGGAGGATGAGTGGCAGGGACAGGCCTAATTTCCAAAACCGTGCTGTAATATTTACTGCAAGCTGTGGGATCTTCTGGTGGATGCTCTGGTGTGCAGACATCCTGAGGACAACAAGGAAGGCAACAAATCCATCTATCATTTTATTTTATGCTATGGGAATGACGGAAAAGACCAAAGAAGGAATTTTCTTCCATTTTCTCAGCTATCAAGTTTAATAGGGTATAGGCTGGACCCCAAATCACATCCATTTCCATTGAAGGATGCATGGTTACAAGAGAAATGCAACCCACTGAATTAATACAAGCCTTTGATGGGCAAAAGGAGAAGAATTAGGGGACAGCACAATTGATGGAACACAACCCACTGCTTGCTTGCAGTTGGCAGAAGGCACGGATGGTGTGTTTTTCACGTATGTGCCAGCTGCTTAGCAGAAAGTCACCCAACTCTTTGCTTACTCTATGAGCAGAGTTTGGAAAAGTCAGGGTTTTTTAAACTACATCTTTCAAACTTCCCAACTTCATGGCCACTGGTGGATTCTGGGAGTCATAGTCCAAAAAGAGCAACTTTTCCCAAGTGAATGAGGCTATGAGTCTTTGGACATACAGACACAGAAAAATCTACTCCATCTAGCTCAGTATTATTTATTCAGACTGACAGCAGCTGCTCCAGGCTCTCAGGCAGAAAAGCAACATCTAACATGGTTTGCTATTAAAGACCCTCATCCATGGAAGGGGTCAGGGATGAATCTGGGATCACGTGCATATAGCATGTATACTGAGCTCTTGTACCACTCCAGAAACATCATCAAACATCCTACAGATTGAGGATTTGGAAATATATATAGTGGTGCCTCGCATTACGATGTTAATTTGTTCCAGCGAAAACATCGTAAAGCAATTTTAAAAAGCCAATACTGTAGAAGAAACCCCTTCAATGCATTCCTATGGGCTTAAAACTCACAGTCCAGCGAAGATCCTCCATAGCGTGGCCATTTTCGCTGCCCGTGCAGCGAGGAATCCGTCCCAGAAAACAGCGGGGTGGCCAATTTTTTTACCCGGCGGCCATTTTGAAAGTGCCGATCAGCTGTGCGAAAATCTTCGTTTTGCAATAATCGGTTAGTGAAACAGGGAACCGATCATCACAATGCGAAGCAAGCCCATAGGAAACATCGTTTTGCGATCGCAAAAACTTCGTGATGCAATTTCGTTGTTATACGAAGCGCTCGTCTTGCAAGGCACCACTGTACACACTGGTTTATTTTCAAGAGAGAAAAGGCTGAGAACAGGATTGGTTTCTTTAAATATATTCGTGGAATCCAATTGGAAAACCAGAAGCCAGCCTCCCAGCAACCAGGACCACCCAGGGTATCTTCAACTGCCTCCACCATCACCCACACCAGGCTATGCTGGCTGAGGATGATGGTGGTTGTAACCCAACACCCCTGAAGGCTGCAGTCTGAGGAAGGCTGCTATGCTCCAGTCTGCCCAATGGATATTTGCTTTTTTTTTTAAGGCAGCAGAGTTTGTGTTTCCTGTTTATTGCCACAAAGCATTAACAGCAGCTCTGCTAGATCGGAGCACCAGTCCAACTCAGAGCTTGGAAAAACAGTTGGCAAGGAGGCTGGAGTTACTCTGAGAAGGACCCACCCCATCATCTTGAAGTGGAAAGCAGTTTTTCGACCACTTCTCCCAGAACCTCACCCTGCCTGGAGGATTACAGTATGTGAGTAGTCACCCCAGAAAACAGGGGGTGTTAGCACCTACATCTGAATTCCCAAAATGACTGGCCAAAAGACTCTGGGAATCCCAGAAGGCCATCAAAACAACAGTATGTTTGGTGCTGACATAGAGACACTGGCATATTAAAGCTAACTTGCTTTAGCAACTCCTTTGCTGTCTTAATAAGCTCGGTCAGACCATTTGTCCAACTAGTTGAGTATTGTCTATCTTGATGGCATAAAGCTCTTCTAGATCTCAGGCTGAGAGCCTTTCTGAGTCCTGCCAACTACGGTTCTTTAACTGCAGATAACAGGGACTGAACTTATGGCCCTTTCCACTGAAAGCTTGCGCTCTATCACTGAGCTACAGGCAGGCTAGGGTTGAGCTGACAACAGTGCCATGACTATCACAGCATCCCCAACCCCAGGCATGTCCCCCGATGGTGAGCTCCACAGCCCACGTATGTGGCCTGTCCAGTTTCTGCTTTAGAACCTACTGCTTACCTAGCATACATGGTGCCCTCCCCCATGAGCTGCTCTACAAGTGTGGAAATCTCGCTGGAGAGGACGCCTCTCAGAATTCAAAGCCTTGATGCGAGGCCACTTTGGTGAGCAGCACCATAGAGTGGACAAAGTAAGCTCCTAGAGCGTTGCACCCGTGCCTAGATGCCCTATGCTGTATGAGGCTGCATGGGGGCCTCTGAAGCCGGATCCCCTTTCCAGGTTGCAACAGGCCCTTCCCCTCCTGCCTCCCCCTTCCAAGCCACCAGGCCACTTTCTCCAGAGGCAGGATCTCCCGCTTTCCAAGCACTGATGGCACCCTCGGTCGATGGCTCTCCTGTTTTCCACGCTGTGGCGGTGGTGGCGATGGTGCTCTCGGCAGCAGAGGTAGCAGCGGCAAGGCTGGGTTTCTCCTTCCAATCCGCCGTGGTGGCTGATGCAGCGGCGATGGCCCCCGGGGCCTCATGCTGGCCCCCTTTCCAGGCCGTGTGGGTGGTCATGTGGCGTTCCAGCAAGGTGCGATGGGAGAAGTATTTGTTGCAGATGCAGCACTGGAAGCGTTCAGGGCGGTGGGTGCGCATGTGGACATTGAGAGAACTCTTTTGGGTGAAGCGCTTGCAGCAGATAGAGCACTGGAAAGCCCGCACCCCAGTGTGGGTCACCATGTGCTTGAGCAGGTAATCCCGCAGGGAGAAGGAACGCCAGCAGATGCTGCACTGATGAGGCTTCTCACCTATCAAGGGGGAAAGACGATGAGAGGTCAGTAAGGAGGGCAGTGTTCAGGGCCACCCCACCGTCTTGAACTGGAAAGACATTCACTGTCTTGAACTGGAGAGGCATAGAGGAGGGTGGATAACCCGCAGCCTTCCAGATATAGTTTGTCAACAACACCCATTATCCTTTATCCTGAAATGCTGCCTAGGACTCAAGAGAGCAGTTGCTCATCCTTAAAAAGCTAATTTTAATACATTTTCCATTTAATTAAAAACAGCAATATTAATTGTAGGTAGGAATTGAGAAACAATGTATAACTTTCAATTAAATGAATGGTAAAGAGAGGTTTAGGATACAGTTATTAATGATAAGTTAACCATAGTTAATATTATGGTTAAGAAAGTGTTGATAAATAAGAATACATTTATAGATATATGGGAAGAATTCCTTGATTTTTGTATTAATAAAGGGAAGGGACATATGTCTTTGTGGAAGGGAATGAGGCTCCATGAAGGGGAAAGAAAGTCAATGCTTGTAACTCCCAAATGGTGGTGGTGCTAGACATTTATAGAGTTTTTCTTATGCTATTGTTATTAGATGTATTTACATTTGTATGATTTTGTTTAATATTTTTTTAAAGTTGCCCATCCCTGTCCTAGGGCCTTTTCTGTAGCAGCACCCATGTATGTAGGTATTCATTTAAAATGTTTTTACCTCACCTTTCTCCTTAAAAAGGACCCAAGGCAGCTTATGTCATTAAAAGACAACATTAAAGAGCTAAGAAAAGTAACTACACTGATGGTTGATTTAAAAGAATCAACACTACACTAAAAAATGGTAAACAAAATCAACATCAAAAACAGATTCAAACAACAAGGCAAAAGACTCCATTTAAAAGCCCCTCTCGGGCAGCCACTCACTAAGGGAAAGCTTGTCTGAAGAGAAAGATTTGTTTGCTTGTGGAAGGAGTGCAAAGTTTGGCCCCAATGTGGTCCCCTGTGGGAAGGATTTCCAGAGTCTGGGAGAAGCAATAGAGAAGGCCCTCTCCTGTGTGTCCCCACCTAATGCACCCGTGAAGATGGTGGAACTGAAAGAAAGGCCCCCCCGATTATCTTAATACTTGAGCAGGCTCATAAAGGGACACCTTGGAAGGCTATTGCTAGTCCTCAAACATGGATCTCCAACCAGCATGACCAATGGTTGAAGAATCTGGGAGTTGTTTCCAGCAACATCTGGGGATTTAAGATGGGGAACCATGGAAGGAGACAGTACAGTACTCAACTAGGTTGAGAAAACATTTATGGCAGTTTCTTATGAGATCAACAACAGCCACTGACTCTCTCCACACTTTCTCACTACTTTCCAGCTATATCTGTCTTGCACTTTGCTGTTATTCATCTTCACAGTGGTTCCCAACATTGGGTCCCCAGATGTTCTTGGACTACAACTCCCAGAAATCATAGCCACCACAGCTAGGGGTGAAGGCCTCTGAGGGTTTTAGCCTAAGAACATCTGGGGATCCAAGGTTGGGAACCACTTATCTATTATATAAAGCAAAGATGAGCTACTGCATACAGCCCAGAGACCACCCCTCTCCCAGTTTCCACCTACCCGCTCCAACACCTACAGGCTGCTCTGACCTGGGTTTTTTTCAGGGGGGGGGGAGAGGTTGAGATGCTATTGTGGATTCCCAAAAGCAGGGCAAAGAGAAGAGCATAAAATGGGAGAATCGAGTCACGTCAGGCAGGACTGTGGGAATTTTGGGGACCAATATTCTTCCATAGTGATGGAGGTATGTGTAGCTCAAAAGACTTTGGTGGACCGCATGTGGCTGCAGGCCACAAAACACCCTTCCTCATCTCAAAGCACTCTGCAAATCTTCTCTTGTTCAGACTTAAGACAACTTTGTGATAGGTTGGTTATTGAGGAGGAGCTCTTTTTGGATCTTTCCGCTCTCAATTCCCTTACCTAGACGTCCAGCCTCTCCTTCCTTACCTGAATGGATGAACATATGCTTGGTGTAGTTTTTTCGGGAGCTGAAGGTCTTTTGACAATGGCTACATTGGTAAGATGGCTCAGAACAGCGTGAGGGGCCAGGCTGTTGACTCGGCTGCTCCCCGCCATGCAAGCTGCCTGTCACCACAGCGCTGGGGCTGAGCTGCACCATGTTGCTGGCCCCTGCTTCTGGCGGCTGTGGCATGCTGTAGAAGCTCTGGGCCACCCCGCCCGGCTGCGGCACATGGAACTGAAAGATGCTGGTGGTGCTGGTTGCCGTGTTGGTCCCGCTGACCTCCGCCTTGAGCTCTCTCTGGATACCCAGTGAGGAGACAAAGGTCAGCCCCCCGCCACTATTGCTGCGTGGTGGAAAGGATGAAGAGGGGCTGCCCAAGTCCGCCTTGAACCCTCCCGCCAAGCTTCTCAGGTTGGAAGCCTCCAAGCTGCAGTCCGAGTGGAACTTCTCCCGGTTGCGAGTGGTGGCAGCAGCCGCCGTCTCTTCGCCACTTTCCTCCCCCTGCCAGGATGGGATGAAAGACTCTGAAAATACATCCTGGTTCCCAAAGAAATCCTGGCCCTCGGCGGTGGCGTAATCCAAATGGATGCTCTCTTTCTGGCTGGCCCCACTGGTGTTCCCAGAATCCTTTGCCTCCGCTTCGTCAGGAAAGCTAGGAGGAAAGTCTGCACTTCCACTGCACTCAGCAAAACAGCTCAGCTTGGCCTCCCTTTCTGCAGCCTCCACGACTTCCCTGTTTTCCCTATTGCCTTCCTCCTCATCCTTGATGATGACAGGCATCGTCTCAGAGAGCTGAAGCCTCACTGGCTGGCGTTGCTTGCGACTGTGGCAGCTGGGCGTGGCATCAGCAGGGTGAAGGAAAGGGCCCCCTGTCTCCCCATCACCGATGCCCCCCTCACAGGGGGCTATCCGAGCCTCCCTGTGCTGTGAAGAGAGCAGATCACGCAGCTTATACCGCACCTCTGAGGCACAAAGCAGTTTGGGAGGGTCCAGGTGAGCAGTTTCAAGATCGCCCGGCCGGGAGACACTGCCGACAACTTCTTTGGATCCTTGCTCTTGGGCCTTGGTGGGGAGAACCCTGGGAAGGGTAAGGGAAACAGGCGGAGGGGCAGTGGGAGGTTTGGGGCTGCGGCTCTGAGAGATGATCTGAGTGCATTCGTCAATGACCGTCTTGATCTGCAGGATGGAGGCCGCCGTGAGGATCTGCAGGGCTTCTGACTGGGCAACCACCAGTGAGCCGCTATACATGAACTCCACCAGTTGGCGCACCACCTGGCTGGGAACCACCGGTGGCACCTCGATTTCTGAGTAGCCCAGCAGCAGCTTGTCATGGAAGAAAGGGCTGCCTGCTGCCAATACACAGCGGTGAGCACGCAGTGTGGCTTCCTGGATGTGCACTGTTACATCACAGAAATGCCCGCCAAGGCGCTGCCCGTTCAAGGTCTCCAGAAGGGACTTGCTGAAGTTCTGAAGGTGAATATAATGGACAGCTTCAGCCATGCTGTCCTGTGTCCCACAGAGGGACATCTATGGCCTTGGACCGTTCTAAAGGATGGAGTGCATTAAAAGTGGGGACGTCAAGCCAGGAACTTTCTCATCCAAATCCTGAAATACAACATGGAAAAGGATGAGCCAAACAGCTGAACAGGCTGGCTTACACAGGTTTGTTCCCTTAGGGCCATGAAGGGCAGCCTCAGAGGGCTCAGGGAGCAATCTTTCATTTCCAGGATCCATCAGAGGCCACACTAACCCTAAATAAAAAGCTATGAAAAATGAAAACCAAATGTTACTGGGAGGCCAGTTTCAGTTTTGTGGGTTTGATGTTTAGGCGAAGCTGTGCCTCATTTTACTGCAAACCCACAATTCCTGGAGGCTTCAGGGACGGCAGAATAATTGTCTTCTATGGACCTTTCTTTGACTGGGAAAGTCCGAGATCATCAAAACGGCCCCGTTTGGTCCTGGGGTCCATACTCTGCCCCACTCTAGTATTAGCATAAGCTCTCAAAATGGTGCACTTTTATGTATAAGCGTGGTTATTTTAGTACTGCATGACCTAGCAGTGAATCTTGGCTTTTAAAATCTCATTTGCCAATCCAACAGTCAAATAACAATTTTTCATCATACTTTATTATTATTTGCCAGTTTGTACTTCAAAGCTTATCAATCTGTTCCCAGAACACAAAAGCTGTAAGTTTTATGTTAGGTACTGCAAACAAGGAAATCAGTAATGTGACCCCTAGTGTGACCCAACTGCATTACCAAAGAACATGGGGATGGATGGGAGATGCCAGGCCCACCAGCTGCTGCATTGAAACTCTCATCTGCTGTGGTGAGAAGAGCTATGGGTGAAAAATGCCAGGAAATGTTGTACAGCCACATCTGGAAATCTTTATCTTATAGTTATGGTATATGATTCCCTGACAGCACTGTTTCACACATTTAAAAAGGACCTTGTTTGCTTGTGTTTCAACTGAAAACAATCCATCTTCCCCTTTAAGAGCTGATCTGTATCTTTCTGGCACAGGGCTAGGGCATGCAATCTTTTGGGGATGATTTATTGAGATACAAAATAGCTCTTTTTTCTGCCTTTGCAGAAGGGTACCATGCATTAGAATAGATTGCACTGAAGATAATCACTGGCCAGATCACACCAAATTTCACAGTATGGACAGGCCTTAAGATTGGCTTATGGGATCTTGCTGTTGCTTTTAAAAACTAGACAATAGGCCTACTGCAAATACCAGACCTGTTTCACAAAATTGAAATGCATCGGGATGCACTATTACCAGAAGATAAATCCATTGAGTATAATGTGGAAGAAGGACATGGTGAAATACCTCTGACTACCATGCTCTGGGAAGAGCCCCCACAACAGCCAGTCAAAATGCACACAAATTCTCCAAATGCATGAGAAATCGTTTTTAATTCTCACAGAGCACTGTGATTAGTGATGCTTCTACGGGAAGGAAAGGAGAACAGGGGTCCTCACTGTGGGACTGAGATCCCCATCCTACTTTACTGCAGGTTATGCTAGCTGGGGGCTGATGGATGTTATAATCCAACGTATGAATAGCTGAAGGACCACTAGGTGCCCATTCCATATCTGTAGTATTTTTCTACTCCTGCCTGCTTCCGAGAAATTAAAATGGGAGATAGGTGTGCATCCCAATACCAACAGACCTTGGACAGTAATAAGAAAGACATGGGGAGTTCATGGGACATGTCTTTCAGAAAAAGAAAAAAAATATCCTGTCTCCGGAGACTATGACTCCATTTGCCAGGCAACATTTCTCACTGCACAAAAATATTTCTGAAGCAAAACGGGCAGGGAACCTTGCAGTTCTGACCCAGAGACACAACTCCATCATCATCATCATCATCATCATCATCATCATCATCATCATCATCAGGCAGAAACCACATCTTCAGATCAAAAAGCCCAGCCCCGATATATTTAGAAGCAGCAAGCAGGGGAGAAAATTCACTGTGCGGCGAAATGTACTCTACACATGCTCAGAGGGATTCTCTTTTTCCTGATGACTGTATACCTGCCGGGGCTGAGCCTTCTCTCCCCGCCTCCTGCCCGCCGCAGGACTCTCATTCCGAAGCCCTCGAACCTTCTTCAGCCCTACTGAAAGAAAACCCAGGCGTCCGAGGACCCCTGATCGTACCTGACAAAAGGACCTGGGAGAGAAGGGGGCGTGGCAGGGACGAGTGGGCGGGGCTTAAGCCGGGACTAAGGAGGCGGCCCCCCCCTCACCTACCTCCTCGGCCTCGGGTCCGGAAGAGCAGCCACCGCCCCCTCTTCCTCCTGGCGCCCCTCCCTATGTGACCTCCTTCCGCTCGCGTCTCTGCTCTCGGGTCACTTCCGCCCCACAAAGCTCCGTCAAGGGCCGCCCGCTCATAGAAGCAGAAAGGTTAGAGTGACACGCGCGTACCCACCCTTTCTGCTCGGGTCACGAACCAGGCAAGAGGGAGAGGAAGCCCCGCAAAGTTGGCCTGAACGTGCTTCCCCCTCCCGTTTTGCAATTCGCCCCCCCCCGGTTATCACGTGTCTTCAGGGTTTGGAGACGTTACTTTTTCGGACTCGTCCACAGACCCCCCCTCAGCCACGTTGTGGGTGCGATTTTACGAGAATTGTAGCGACCCTCAAAAGAATTTTTGAAATCACTTTTTTGCCAAAATGGCGAAGAGTCCGGTGGCACCTCGAAGGCTAACAGATTTGGCATACCGTGAACTTGTGTGAGCTACACCATCAGATGCATAACATGTTATCCAGAATTTCAGCACAAACATTATGCACACTGGCTGGTGGGACTGTATAATGCGGGATCAGAGGCAAATTAAGTGCTTTTAATTGCATTATTAACACCAACCATCCACACAGCTATTACTGATACATTTTTAGTGGTCTAATAAAGGCATCACATTCTTCTGCATTTGTATACAGTAGTACAATAATCACGTGGTTGCTTTTGGATTTTTTTTTTTTAAAAAAACTATAATACTGAAAATTTGGCTCTAGGTAAGCTAATGTCCCTATCTTCAAAAAGGGGGGAAAAGAAGACCCAAATAATTATCACCCTGTCAGTCTGACATCAATTCCTGGAAAGATTCTAGAGAAGATCATTAAGCAGAGAGTTTGCAATTACTTAGAAAGCAGTGCTGTCATTACCAGAAGTCAGCACAGATTTCTCAAAAACAAGTCATGACTGCCTAATTTGATCTCTTTTTTTGATAGAGTTACAGGCGTGGTAGATGAAGGGAACACTGGATGCAGCATATCTTGATTTCAGTAAGGCCTTCAACAAGGTTCCTCACGATATTCTTGCAAAGAAGCTATTAGAATGTGGGATAGATAGTGCTACTGTTTGATGGATTTGTAATTGGTTGACTGACCGAACCCAAAGGGTGATCACAAATGGCTCCCCTTCATCTTGGAAAGAGGTGACTAGTGAGATGCCCCAGGGTTCCGTTCTGGGTCCTGTGTTATTCAACATCTTTATCAATGACTTGAATGAAGGAATAGTGAGTATGTTGATAAAATTTGTGGATGATACCAAATTGGCAGGGGTTGCTAATTCCCCAGAGGACAACAACGTCTATGTTGGCTTGGGGATGTTGTGAGAATGGCTGATGGTCGGATTCCAAAAGATCTCCTGTATGGAGAATTAATGCAGGGAAATCGCCCCAGAGGGAGACCACAGCTGCGATACAAGGATATCTGCAAGCGGGATCTAAAGGCCTTAGGAATGGACCTCAACAGATGGGAAACCCTGACATCTCAGCGTTCAGCCTGAAGGCAGGCGTTGCATCACGGCCTCTCCCAATTTGAAGATGCCCTTGTCCAGCAGGCCGAGGCAAAGAGACAGTCACGAAAGCAGCAAAATCAGGGAGCTGGACAGGGAACAGATTGTATTTGTCTTCAGTGTGGAAGGGATTGTCACTCTTGAATTGGCCTTCTCAGCCACACTAGATGCTGTTCCAAGTCCTCCGTACAAAGCACATTACTATAGTCTCTCGAGATTGAAGGATGCCTAATCTAAAAGCTGAAGAGGGGACAGGTTTGTTTTCCAGGGCTCCAGAGACTAGGACACGGAGCAATGGTTTCAAATACAGGAAAAGAGATTCCATCTGAAGATTAGGAAGAACTGTCTGGCAGTGGAATAGGCTGCCTCGAAAGGTGGTGGAGTCTCCTTCTTTGGCAGTTTTTAAGCAGAGGCTGGATGGCCACCTGTTGGGAGTACTTTGACGGATGTGCCTGCATGTCGGGGAATTGGACTGGATGGTCGCAGTGCTCTCTTCCAACTCTATGACTCTACTCTAATCAACACATGTAGTATGATTAAGAATTCTGTTCTGAGCGTCTGATGGTAGATAGAAACTTACTAATGCAAAGCACAATGTTGCAATTCCAAAGAAGCTAGCCTGTGCAAATCCCAAGATCAATACTGTCCAATAACCTCTATTGATTGAAACTTTGCCTTGGAGTGGCTGGGGCAGGGTGTACTGCTGTAGTGTCAATACTGCAGACAGAAGATCACCTTGAGACTGAGAGGTTAGTATTAGTATTCAGCAACTTGTAGTTCTATTGAAATAAAAGGGAGTTGTGTGGTCAATACATATACATGGCCAGTGACTCTTTGTCTGAAGAACTGGCGGGTAATATCCAATCCATCAACTGTAGTTGTAAAACAATTCTAATCCTGCCTGAATCTTTCCTAAGAAATCCATCTTGTCATGAACTTTTGAACCTTTAGTTTTTCACACTGGTACAAGCCTAACCAAATGGTCTTGATCAATGAAAGCTCGCATATATTGTATGGTGACTTTTAAAGCATTCTATAAAGGTATTGCCTACTGTTGCATTTATATTTTGTAGTTCTGTGTCACTATTGCATGTTTGATGTGGGCCCAGGTCTGTTTGGATTTCTGTGGAATACTCTCCCAACCGAAATTCGGCTGGTACCCTCGCTGGGTGTTTTCAAAAGCCAGTTGAAAACTTGGTTATTTAACCAGGCCTTCCCTCCAGTCAATTAAGTGATTTCTATTTTTTTCCCTCTTCTTGAGTCATGCCATCTTGGAAATGTGTTGTTTAGAATTCATTGTTATAATTGTATTTTTATATATGTTATTCTGATGTGTTTTTATCTATGTAAGCTGCCCCAAGTAGACGTTGTCCAGAAATGTGGGGTAAAAATCTAATATATAAATAAATAAATAAAATAAATAGATAAATATTTGGATTTCTTTTTGATCATTGCTTATTTTGAGGAATATTATGTTCACGAATGCCAGTGTGGTGCGATGGACTAGGATGCTGGAAAACAGGGTTTGAATCCCCGCTTGGCCACTGGGAATATTTTACATACCTTGAAAGCCCTGTTAGAGCCACTATAAGTTTGCTACACACACAGAGGTTCATACACACATACACGCAGAATGGCATTCCTTCATAGGCATCCTTCAGTCTCGAGAGACTATGGTAACATGCTCTGTATCGAGAAGTGTCCTCTCCAGAGCATGAAGCCTGGGTAAAGTAATACTGTATGGAGGATAGGCTGTTACCCAAGTAGCAAATCCCCCCTCTCCACATTGCTGAAATGGTCCAACGGAAAGGCAAGAGCCAATACAACTGGTTCCAGCAGCGTCGCAGGAGTTGCCAGAACGACATGAACTGCCTTCGGGACTCCAGCTTAAAATGACATTAAGATTGTGGATAAATAGGTTGCTTTTTTTACATTGTGGATTTTATTGAAATGCACTCTGTTGTAGAGTGCAATAAAAATAAATATAATTATTATTTCTGGAGCAGTGTTTCTTATCTGTGTAAAACATCATTGGGAATTATGAAGCAAAGGTTGGTTAATCAGCTCAAACTGATTCCTCAAGGGCTGCTCTATATACTCAGTTGCATATAGAAGCTCTGAGATCTTTCCTGTGGTCAGATCTAATTTTTGGCAGTAATTTTTACAATGCACAAACGAAAGAGGATTGTTTTCTGGAGAAGTGTTTGTTTTCTGTGTAAAACATCATTGGGAATTATGAAGCAAAGGTTGGTTAATCAGCTCAAACTGATTCCTCAAGGGCTGCTCTATATACTCAGTTGCATATAGAAGCTCTGAGATCTTTCCTGTGGTCAGATCTAATTTTTGGCAGTAATTTTTACAATGCACAAACGAAAGAGGATTGTAAATATTTATCCTAGTTCCTTGGGTCACACTAAACATAAATCATGGGTTTCGTTTATTTTTATGGACAGCAGCGTTCACTTCAGGAAGAGGAGGGGGAAACTGCTGTACTGAACCCGGAAACTGTCGATCGATGGCATCCTTCAGTCTCGAAAGACTATGGTATCGTGCTCTGTATCGAGGACTTGGAACAGCGTCTAGTGTGGCTGAGAAGGCCAATTCGAGAGTGACAATTGCTTCCACACTGAAAACAAATCCAATCTGTCCCCTGTCCAGTTCCCTGATTTTGCTGCTTTTGTAACTGCCTCTTTGCCTCAGCCTGCTGGACAAGGGTCTGTATTGCTGCACTACGCTACCCGGAAACTGTATTGCTACACTATTTACTAATCTATGAGTACAGTAGGAGAAAAGCAGGAGGAAGATAAAATAATCATGGAGAAAAACAGGTTGGACGGAAGAAGTTGTTAATCTGTATTCTGTAATGCTACCAGATACGGGATCATAGACGAAAAACCTAGCAGTTGCTAGACAAACCTCTAAACCCGGCTGACTAAACAGATCTTAAACCCAGCACGATACTGAGAGGCAAACGCTAAAGAGTCTCCTTTGTTTGTTTTTAAAGCATCTGTATTACAACACTTGCCCTTCCCATAGTTAAAAACCATAGAGGCTGAACGGAAGGCGATGGAAAGAGAAGCACAGATATAGAAAAAGAATAGAGGGATCCTCTGTGTAGCTGGATTGGGACTTCCTGTTTCATATTTGTCACGCAGAAAGAGGGCACAAGAAAGGAAATAGGAGTTCATTTGTGGCAAAAAAAGAGAAAACTGGCTAATAACCCATCCCCAGAATCATGCTAACGTCTCAGATTTCGCCATAGTTTTCCAGGGTCAGAGTTTAGTATGGCCCTGAGAACCTTGAAGCTTTACAGTGAATATGAGTCTCAACAATAGCTCTAGGGCACTGAAAAGAAGCCACCGGGAATAATAGTCCTCTTGTACTTCGGCGCCAAGAGGCTCGCTGGTACTATGGCCACTAGATTGTGGAAGTCAGG